GTTTAATATGAATGTAAATGTATAGCTTATATCAGATTATGTGGTAGGGAGGAAGGGGGAGAAAAATTTTAAACTCAAAAGCATATGGAAGTGATTATTAATAAATCAAAATAAATTAATTAAAAAAAGATACAACAAACTTGAAAACAAAACTCAACTTAACATTGTATTACAGTCCCTCAAGATTTTATCTCACATAGCAAGCTTCACTAATCATGCTTTGAGTTTGACATAGTTATTATCAAGACTCTCATGTCATTGCAATAAACTCGATAACAAATAAAAACTTATCAGGCCTTCTAAAAATTACATAAAATACTTAAGATTCTTTTTTTCTATTATTTCCCTGTCTCCAATACACCTTAAAATAATCCTGCTGTAAAAGGCAGTCATCAGAATTTAACAAAGCAATTATAGTATGTATATTCACATCGATAGTGAATAAATGATTTCTTAACGCATTTGAAACAAACAAACAAACAAAAAAAAATCCAAAAAAACCAATCCTAGTCTTCATGGGGGTTAGGGATATAGGAAAAACTGATCAAGACCATAGGGCAGAATTCTAGGAGATACTGCTTCTACCGTAACACCCCAAAGGACTTGTTCAGCCCTATGTATATTTGGTATAGACAGCATGGCCTGATAGTAAGCTGGACCCAGAGCTGAAGATTGCAGAGGGCTGGCTGAATGGCTTCTGGGAAATTGCAAAGTTCTTTTACTTACTCCAAGCTACCCGGGGAAACAAAGACCCATCTTTTCAATGCTAACATTTTATCAGTGTTTCTTTCTTTTCTTTTCTTCGAGGCAATCAGGGTTAACTGACTTGCCCAGGATCACACAGCTAGTAAGTGACATAGGCCAGATTTGAACTCAGGTCCTCCTAACTCCAGGGCCCTGTGCTCTATCCACCAGTATTTCTTTATGGCAATCAGACATGGAATCCCACTGTCTCTGATGAACTAAAGGTGAGTTATCACCCAGAAAGCAATGGAGATGTACATGGTGGGTAAGAGCAGTAACCAGTGAGGAGCTATGAAGAACATGTGTGAAGGATATTATGGGGAGAGGGTTGAGGGGTCGGAATTTGATAAACTGGAAGGGAAGGTGAAGGAGGTCATGGACCGGTGTCTGATGGAATGGGCAGACATGAAGGCAGACCACATCATTAGAGGGAGGTCCTGATCAGTGAAATCATAGATTCATTTGATATTGATTGAAAGTGGGGAATGAAGAGGGTTGGCTGCCCGATGAAATTCAGGATTGGGTCTGGGGAAATGGCAGTGGGAGAGCAGGGCAGCCTTGAGCTTATTCTACCTTCTGACTTCCTTGTAACTACAACTCAGTCGGCACACCTCAGATTCCCATGGGGGGCAATGGAAAGAGCACTGGCTCTGAACCTGGGTTCAAATCTTGGCTTTTTCACAGTGTGACCTTGGGCCTCATTTTCTCATCCACATAATGAGGGGGTTAGAGTAGATAGCGTCTGAGATCCTGGTCACATTTATGATCTATGGTCTCTGTCCTGCCCTCTATTACCCCTGAGGCAAAGTGAGATGGGGAGAGACTTTTCCAGGGACTTCAAGGTTGAGGAGAAAGGCAAGTTTCCAGCAGCAGTTTTAGGTAAGAAAGGGAAGCTCTATACCCCTTCTCTCTGTGTCCTCCTTCCGCTTCCCTAATTCTGAATCCAGAGTGAAACACAAGCATCTGAGAATGGTGAAATCTTCATAATTGTCAAATCAAAGAATCTAATAAAAAAAACTTTAGAGCTAGAAATAAATCATCTAAGCCAATTTTCAGTTTACAGATGAAGAAACGGAGGACCAGAGAAAAAGCCTAAACTGATTCTGCCCCCTGGTGGCCAACAGAGGGATCTGTTCATTTCTTCTTCACAGGGATCATATACATAAACTGTATTCCCTCCTCCCCCTCCCCTTTTATAAACTGTATTTTCATTCTTTGTAGACGATACAATTTCACATCTCTGCAATATCCATTTCTCTTGCTTATAACTATTATTTAGTTATTTTAGGAAAATCTCAATCCTTCATCTCCCCCTACCCCTACCTTTCCATTTATGAGATTTTTAAAAATTACCTTAATCATGGCTGTTATGTGATAGATCTGTAGGAAGAAAAGGAAAATTTTAAAGATTTTTTTTCCTTTGCATGAAATTAGACCTGCTACAGAATCAGTACTATACATGTCCAAAGTCTTTGAAAGATCCTTGAAATCCTTTCGGAGGTAGGCTTCTCACCAATACTTTTGCTCCTTCAGAATCTACACAAAAGGTTTTCTGCTGTCTCCTCCTCCTCTTCTTCTTCCTCCTCCTCCAATTAACTGTGCTTTTCCTCAAACACTAGCATTTAACTTTTTAAAATCATTAAAAAATTTTTTCATTTTCTTATTGTAACATCATTGTTTCTATTACTTTTCACGGCACATGTACAGTATTTCAGCTACATGTATGTTGGCTAGGTTCTGTGAGCTAACCTGGGAATTTACCCAGCCTTTATAACTTTGTTTCTATAGGAAAATGTATTTTAAGCATTAAAACAGGTCTTCCCTGAGGTCGCAGAGATAGTCAATGGCAGAGTTGGCACTAGAATCCAGGCGTCCTGATTGCCAATCCAGTGATTAATCTTTCTATATAATTAGTGTCTTATAAATATTGGTATAAAGAAGAATTCCTAAAATGCCTTTGTTTCCTTGATGCTTTAATTTTCATGTTGGCCTTGGACAAACTGTGAAGTGGTCAGAGCTAGCTTTCCCAGTGATCATAGGTGTCTGTACTCTCATGCTTTTGACCTCTCCGGCCATCTCACCTCCCTAGTAAAAAAAAAAAATGTCGATCCTTTGTTCTGTCTCTGTCCCTATGTCAGTAGCTCTCCCTTCGAGTTTTCTGTTTACCAAAGTGACAGCTAAATTAATAAACAAATTCATGTTAATGTGGGCTTATAATAGTCCATGTGGGCTACAAGGAGAAGGCTGAGTCTAGGTTTTCTACTGTTCTTCCTCTCCTACACCATGTACTTTTAAATGGCTTCCTGAAGAAAATGTCATCATTTTAATTGTCAAATCTAGTGGAATGACTGGGTATATTTCAACCTAGGTAGAAGAAAAAGGTGGAATAGAGAGGCAAGCCAACTGGGGATCTACTCTTGGGCAGGTGGGATCTTATATTCAATATTATGTAATACTGTTGAATAATAATAGAATAATACTATCTTCAACTTACATTCACCTCTGTATCTCTTAGCACCTAACAGTTTACGTATCAAATGCCTATTCAATGTTTGTTGAAATGAACATCTTGGGGTTTACTTCTCTGGTCAGTTTCTCTATTTGTAAAATAAGGGGGTTGGATTTGGTCTCTCAGGGCCCTTTTTTTGACTCTGACTTGTATTTGCAATTTCCAAATCAATGACCTAGGTACCATACAAACCTTCTTCTTTATATCCTCCCCCCTACCCCTAAACCCTCCCCACATAAGCTGCTTCAAATTAGCTCCTATATTATTATCTTTATTGGACTGGCAGCTGGAAAGGATTTAAGAGTATGGATGGGGGTGAAAACAGGAACTTTTATACCTTATTTTTACATCAAGCACTTCTGTTGTCAATAACAAATAAAGTGTCAAGCAACATTACGTACCCATTACACATAGCCCATTAACTTTGTACTCAAGGAGATATACAGCTACTAGACATTTTTTCTCTAATTTTTGCAGCTCCCAAAATATAAACCTGGATTTCTTGGGAAAGCTGCAAAGGAGTTCCTTCTGCTTAAAGTATGGAAAAACTAAGAAAAGAGGTTCTTGGTTGTTTTTTTTTTCCCCTTTCATCTAGAAACAGAATGAATAAAGGTTGCCTAAATGGTCAAGGTGCCAAGATTGCTGGAGCCCAAGGGAGGTGGCCTCCTGGTTTGGTGTGTGAATTCTGTCCACACTAAGAAGTCCAGGCAAACCAGGAAGAGGCAGGGACAAGGGACAATGTATGGGAAGCATAGGGCGCTGCTGACTTGGCAGTTCAGCAGCAGCCAAAAGCTGGTGCCCTGATTAGACTTCAGGTTGTCTCCAATTATTTCAAGGGATGCTAGGAAGTTCTTAAAATTTAATTCACTTTAATTAAACATGCATGTTATGCACCCTTTTATAAAGGATGCTGAAGGACCAGACAGTTGTCACCACATCAAACAAATCATGACAGGGTGATGTCACTACTGGCATAATTTAAATCATGACACTCGAAGATAAGGATTCTTATTTAAGAAGTGCCAGCTGCTAAGTCAGCAATTGAAATGTACTGCTAGGTTTTATGATGATTTTCCTGGTTAGAAATGACATGCAAAGACAACTTTTCCCTCCTTACTTTACAGATATCAAGGATTCTGTCATCCAGGCCACTAAGGAAGGGAAATGGGGTGATCCGAATTCATACTCTCTGTCACCTTTGGGTCAGGGCCATTGGAATCAGTGTTCAGGGCCTAGCCAATACTATCATTACAAGAGCTCCTTCTTTCATTAGTACTTGCCTCCTTTGCATAATTGAGTACTTTGATATACACATAAATGTTTTATATACATCTATGTATGTATGGCATGTGCACTGCCATGACTCCTTACTAGGGATTTTCCTAACCTGCTCTTGCTTAGGCCAGCAAATCGATGTGGCATAGCCCATTGGATGCTTGAATGAGAAGCCCTGCAGTGGAGGTCCTGGTTCTGCCACCTACTTACTCCTTATTCTGTGGTAAGTCCCTTGATTTTTCTGGGCTTCAGTTATCTCATTTTTATAAAAAAAAAAAAAAAAGGGAGGGAGTTGGATTAAATTTTTTTTTAAGAGAACTGATACATACTTGAAATTTTCTAAGCTAGTTAAGTAGGTATTGTGCATACTGCACACCCCTCTCCCACGCAAACAAACAAAAGGTGTACTTCAAATTAACTCTTACAGTACTATATTGAATAATATAGAAAATGTGAATAAACACAAACCGTGAAACTTATATTTGATGTTTTATTGAGGCAGGATGAAGGTCTGAGTGCACAGAACAAGGTGACTGGCTCTTTTTTTTTTGGACAAGATACACATTAGGCAAAGATAGAAAAGATTCTAAAATTTAGTATGGATTTTAGTAGGACATCTGGAAACAGTTTAAAATCTATTAGCTTTTTTTCTAAGATCTGGAGAAATTTTAATTTTCTTTTATATTGATACTAAAAGTCACATTTTAATCAGATTACAACCTATAATAAAAGATCCATTTATACATAAACATAATACTTTATCCACATGTTAGATATAAAATAGTGCAGCACTAAAAAGCTTTTGAGAACTCAAAACTATTTTACTGACATTGGGATATTATTAATTCATTTGCTGAATGTCAATAATATGTTGGGTACTGAAGGCACTAATGTAGTGGAAACAGAAAAAAAAAACCAATGGCATCCATATACCATTATTGCATTTATATACTATGTGTATATGTTTTTGATGAATATTTATAGTTTTGATTCCCCAAAAATTCTCACACTGAAACAAGTATGTACAAGTAAAATGGCCCATCAAAAGATGTTTTTCTGATATAAATGGAGAGTGTGAAAGCGACCAGGATGAGGTTACCAAAATATCAAAAATGGGTAAACCTATTTGAGAATTCTGTAAAATGCCTCTAGAGGGATGAGAAAACATCAACTAGGTACAAGATCACAGTCAGGTTTCTGCTACAACTTCTTATGGTCTTTGGCAACACAAGATTGGACAGATATGGAAGATACCAATACACACATGGTTTAGAACGAGGGACTTTTTGTGGCAATGGTCAACATTTCAACAATATTTACATTAGATGCCACTTGTTTATATTACTATGAAACTCAAAACTTGAAAAAAAAGCCCACATGTTAAAAAATGGTTTTAACATGTAATCAGGGGAAATATATATATGTGTGTGTGTGTGTGACTTTACAATACTCGATGGTGAAAGAACATCCTGTGGCCTAAAAAGAGACAGAGAGGAGGGCAAACATCAGGGTTTCAAGAAATGGGGAGAGTTTAACTTGTGACTTTGCTTGTAATAGGCAATATTCACACATATTAGTAAGGAGAAAAGAATGATTCTGAAATATTAAAGCCTGATTATCTTTCCTAGCCCACTGGACTTTGGAAATCTGTAAAATTTACTCAAATAATTCCACCCTCTTTGGCTAAGAGACACAAATGATGACAGCTGTCTTCCTTGTTTCATCATAAAATCATCCCAGAGTCTGCTCTCATGAAAGCTGGCCTTTCCATGATAACTGGCTGGAAGGTGAGAAAACTTCACTCGTTATGTTTACCACAAACCCATCGAAGTTGCTGATCAGTCCGGAGGTCCGTGAGTTCTTCTACATCTCTCCAACTACACTGGCAAGCATAGGCCCGTATCCCTTTCCGCTTTGTCATCTTTGCTTTCAACTTGTTGAATTCAGGCATGTTGTTCCTGTAAGTAGTTAAGTGAAGTAAAATAGGCAGCTTTTAACATTATGGTCCTGTTTGGCATTTTCTATATTGGTAATAACTAATGATAATTTATAATTTAAAATTATTTTAAAAGAAAGTTTTAACACTTGTAATTCCCCAACTTTAAAGGTGATGTAAGGAAAAACAAGACAAAAAGAAAAAGAAAAATTGCCCAAACAAAAGCCTCATTCCACTGTCTCCAACAAAAGCAGATACAGGTTGTCGTTTTGCTTCTTGCTCTATGCCTTCAATGGCCTTGAGAATGTGAGGCAATCTTTTATTTCTCTTTGCTACTCAAAGGCTGGATATGTTGACACAAGGGACAAATGACTAACTGATTTCATTATCGGCAGGACCACAGGATACAGAAGAGGGTGTCAAAGCACCTCTGCCACTGGAACATGTGGATGTGCAGAAGGACCAATGTTGGTGCTGATGGATACTGGGAAGAAGTGTGGGTCCACAGATCTTCCTTTGGATGAACTCATCATGGGATTATTTCACAAGATAGGGCAGGTCTGGGGGTAGCTTGAGGTAAGCAGGTATTTCTACATATTAAATTGGCATAGTACTTTTTCATGTGCATCAGGCATCTGCCTATTCATTCTACTTACACACACACACACTCACACACACACAGTCAGCATGCGTGATTTCAGCAGAATGGGGAACTTCTGGCATATAAATTCCCTCTACTAATGTAAACCCCCAACTTCTCTGTAATTCAGAGTCTTAGAAAGTCTGGTACATTGGGATATGAAGTGGTTTGCTTAGTCACAAAGCTACAACATACCAGAAGAAGGACTTTAATATAGGTCTCCTTGATTCTAACACTGGACTTCAATCCTTCCTGCCACAATGATTTTTATTTAACAACATAGCTGCATGTTCTAGAATGCTTTTAATTAGGTTAAAATAATTAAATCAATGCTAGTGACCACCCTAGAAAGTTACCACATGACCAACAGCATTAAAAGTTATTGTGTTTTAATCTGAGCTCATCAGTTATGATTTTCATAATAAACTGGAGATACCTACATAAATATCCTGTGACAGAGAAAAGTAAAGTTCCCAGTGATATCAAAGGGAAAAGTAAAACAGATCAAAACTATAAAAGGATATATAGCATCACACACATCATCTGCTACCTACATTGTAGCACACAAATATAATGTGCCCTCTGGTGGCCAAACGGGCATTATCATTGACAAATGTATTTTTGTACAGCAAATGGCATTTTAGATCAGATTGAAGAAAAATAAGATGGTTAAATTAAAGACAATGTCCTCTAGTCAATTTACTATATATACATGAATTAACATTTTTATAAGCATTAATATGTTTAATATGTATTTGAAATAGTAAAGAGCTAAGAAATAGAAAGAATGGATATAAAGGCAATCCAAAATTTTTTTTAAAACACAAAATTTGCCAATCTTCAATAAAAAGATCACCCAAATATTTCTTCCTAAGGAAGCATATCCTTTAGTTGGGTCTTTTTTTTTAGGGGGTAGGGTGGACAGTATGAATCAGTGATTTCATCAGTGTGGGACATGCTGGGCATGGAAATTTCCTGTACTGATACAAATATCTGTATGTCTGTAACTTATGGTCTGCTAAGAGTTGCCTAGGACACTGAGAGGTTGAACAGTTTACTCATGGTCTTACAGGTAGAAGGTGTCAGAGACAAGACTCAAACCTAGGTGCTTCTGATCCCTGAGATGAATCTCTAGGTACTAGGACATGTGGACTCATAAGTGGTCCCTTATTTCTTCATGTGTCGGTGTGTACAAGCACACAATTTAAAAACAAGCCATGTGTCATTTACATGCTCTATTTTTTCATGCCTTTTCTTCAAGAGGCAAACAAAACTCACTTTACAGTGCTTCAATGTAGCTGAAAATGAATGGTTACAAAGCATCTTGTCGTGTATAAATGCCAATATGCCTGGTAACATGAAAAACATTTATAAGAAGTTCTGTACATTAATCATACTAATTCTTTAATTGCCTTCTGTACAGATATCTCAAATGAGTATGTAGTATACATTGGGAGCACAATAGTAGTATCTGTTTCTTTTTAAAGCCCCCAAACCATCCAGCACAATGCTGGGCAAATAGGATGTGCTCAATGCTAATTTAGCTATAATAAATCCTGCATTACTCAGCTTTCTGTTAACCAGAACACCATATGGACCAGTCCTTCCACATACCTGTAACAGTAAACACCTGTTGTTTATTATGATTCTGGGGCAATACATGACCTTTAAGGGCCCAACGGATCATCAAAAAAGATTAAATGACATTTACTTTTAGTCTTAGTGGTAAGTATATTTTATTGGATTTTAGGTTTTTAAAAAATAAATTATAATTACTGAAATGGTATAATTTGCTTTTTATGTCAATACTTCAAAAGACTTCAGTGGGATAGCTACTCCCTCTGCTGGTATAGGTCATGTCCTTTCCTTAACTTAGTAGATGTATAAAGGCTTAAAAAAATGTAATGACTAGCTGCCTACTTGCTGGTGATAAGCCCCTCTGAGATGCATTTTGTGGCTGGACTTGTAGACTCTGATAGAACTTACTCTTAATTGGCAGAGTTTTCAAGAACTTAGGTTACCTCCATGTCCAGTGGAATACAATTTACAATTATAGCTCACATATACATGGCATTTTATACTTTATAAAATACTTTCTCATATATATGTGTATATATGTGTGTGTGTGTGTGTGTGTGTGTGTGTGTATACATGAAATCCCATTATTTAGTAAAGGTTAATATACGATGCTGAATGAGAGAGTTCGGTATAATAAGTAAAGTAAAAATGAACATAAAGCTTAACATAAATCTCCATGAGCCAGGTTTCCTCACCTCTGGGTTGTGGGGTGAGCTGGTGTAAACCACAGTATCGCAGGACTTGAGAGCTGGAAGGGACTTCAGCATGCGATCCCTCCCCAAATCATGAAGCCCATCTATAACGTCTCCAGTAAGTGGTCATCCAGCCTCTTCCTAAAGACTTGCTGTGATGGGCACTTACTACTCACTCCAATGCAGCGCATTCCACTTTTTGATAGTTCTAATAGTGAGAAGGTTTTTCCTTATGTTGAACTGAAACCTATTTTCCTGTAATATCCATCCACTGCTCTTAGTTCTCTTCTCTAGAAGCAAGGACATGACATGTCCTTCTTCCAGATAATAATTTCTCAAATATCTGAACACTTCCCCCTTACTCCTGTTTAAAAATCAAGACGTGGCTATTTCTAGTCCTGTAACTCTCTCTTCTTCTGATTAAACATTCTCAGTTTCTTCGACTGATCTGTGTATGGCATGGACTCAAGTCTCTACCATTTTGATTACCTCACTTTGAATACACTCCAGCTTGTTTACATCCCTTCCAAAATATGGTGCCCAGAACTGGAAACAATCCTTCACATGTGCTCTGACCAGGGCAGAAATACTACCTCCACTGCTCAGAACACAGTATTCTTTTTGTTTTGTTTTGTTTTTTTGCTTTTTGGTGAGGCAATTGGGGTTCAGTGACTTGCCCAGGGTCACACAGCTAGTAAGTGTCATGTGTCTGAGACTGGATTTGAACTCATGTCCTTCTGACTTCAAGGCCAGAGTTCTATCCACTGTGCCACCTAGCTGCCTCATAAATCTATTACAATCTTAGACTTAATTGATAGAGGAATAGTATCTTTTTTTTTTTTTGTGAGGCAATTGGGGTTAAGTGACTTGCCCAGGGTCACACAGCTAGTAGGTGTCATGTGTCTGAGACTGGATTTGAACTCATGTCATCTTGACTTCAAGGCCAGAGCTCGATCCACTGTGGCACCTAGCTGCTCCTACCATATTCTATTAATGAAGCATTAGTTCTTTGGGCTGCCACATCACACAGCTGACTAATAATAAGACTGAAGTTTGTTAGAAGCTCCCATCTTTTTCATGTGAACTAGTTTCCAGTCATATTCTGTAACTTGTGCAACTGATTAAGGTGAAGGACTTCAGATTTACCCTTTTTAAATTTCTTTTTATTATTATTTTTTGGTCTACCATTTTAGTCTCTAAAAATGTTTTAGGATTCCAGTTCTTTCATCTAATGTACTAATTATCCCTCCTAGCTTCATGCCATTCAGACATCTGATAAGCACATCATCTGTGCCTTCATTCAAGTCACTGATAAAAATGCTGACCAGAACAGAACTAAGAACAGAGCAATGGAGCATTTTACTAGAAACCTCTTTTCAAGCTGCCATAAATCTATTAATTAAAACTTGCTAGGTCCAGTCAACCAGTCCCATATGCACCCATCTAGTTCACGTTAGCTCCACTATGTCTGTAAGAAACTCTGCCTAATGTCTTGTTGAAATTCAGATATACTATGTTCACGGAGTATGTCTAATGTATCAATCTAGTAACACTTTCTATAAAAGGAAATAAGGTTATTTTGCTATGACTTGTTCTTAATGAACTTATACTGGGTCTTAGATATCACCTATTCCTTTTTCAGGTGCTCAGAAATCATCCCTCTAATAATCTATTCTGGAATTTTACCGGGAATTTTAGTAAAAATCACCAGCCTACGGTCTGAAGTGTCTACTCCCCCACACTCACATTTGAAAATCAAGACATTTGTCTGTTTCTAGTTGTACAGCCCTTGCCCATTCGTCACATTTCCTCAGAGATCACTGACAGCAGTTCAATAATCATACCCACAATTTTATGGTACATTTCATGCAAGCATGGTGACTTGAGCTCACCAAGGACAGTTAATACTCTCTTACTATTTCCTTATCTTGGGTTTCAATTTCCTGTTCCATTTTTCTGTCTTTTCAAGTCCAAAGATTATTTTCCATGGTAAGGAAAATAAAAGCAAAATCGTGATTGAGTTCTATCTTCTCTGTCATCAATAGTCATCTTCCTACCTATACTGTAAGCGGGGGTCCTATTCCTTTTATTTGATCTCCCTTTTTGGTAAAAAAAAAATAATTTTTACTGTCTTTAATATTTATCACAAGCTCTAGCTCAAACTGGGGTTTATCTTTCCTGAGATTATTTGTATTCATGCTGAATTACTTGACTTTGCTTCCATCTCTTGTACATGTTCTTTTAAAATACGAGTTGATCAGTAAGATCCCTTTTAAGCCATTTCGGCCATTTCTTCCTTATCAAAATCAGCAGTGATGGTGTCATCAAGATTTTCTTCTGGAAAGCTTTCCCTTCCTCTTGAGCCAAGTTCCTTTTTATAGCCTCTGATCATGGAACCTTCTGTATCTCTGAACTCGCTGAAATCTGTACTCCCTAAGTCTAGAATTCACATCAGACTAAGACCAGTATTTACCCTCCTTTATCTCTCATATACACTAACAAAAACCCGTCACTGTCTCCTAAGGGTCTTGTCATCTCTAGTTCAGCAACCAGTTCTTCCTTTAATGGTCAGAATCAGGTCAAGGACAGCAGTACATTTTGTCGCTTCCTCCACCTTCTGAAAGATGAAATTATCAGCAAGATAAGTAAAAAATGTATCATCTGTTTTGCTTTTAGCTGACAGAGAATTCCAGTAAATGTTTGTTCTGATAGTTAAACATCCTCCCCTGACTTGCTGACTCCCTCCTCTATAGTCATAATTATATTTATTCAGCCTCCACGCTAGCTTTGTGATCTGTCTCATGACTCTGTCATCTAATTGCTCCAGATGGTACATTTCCAGCACCAATTTGCTCTATTTCTTCTCTTTTGATCCTCACCCAAATGCTGTATCATGCCTCCCTCTTCCCTTAATTCTGGGAACTTCCACACTTGTGAATATTTTCTTGATGTACAATATTCCTAAATTACCTTCCTTCTATTTAATGTTTCTCTTGAACAAAGCATATCCTTCCACTGCCCTATTACAGTCAAGAGTTATATCTCACTAAGTTTCAGGGATACTATTGGAGAGAAACTTTCTGTAGATTTATGTGAGGATGTGAGTATGGCCCTCACATACGTATGTGATGACAATGGGTCTTGGATAAGAGAATGTCTTCCTTCTTTATTCTCATGATAATGTTGCTACACAGTGGGATTGTACAGATGTTCAAAACTGGCCTTATATTTGGAATTTACATAACTGAGTACTACTGCCCAGGCATACAAGCTCCTATGTGCTTGCCTTTTTTTGAATGTTTTCTAAGTGAGTCTACTATTATGCACAGTGCCTGGCATATAGCAGGCACTTAATAAATGTTTCCTGATTGACTGATTAAAAGCCAAAAGGCCAGTGGCTACAACCCAGCAATTCATTATTAGACTAAAACAACCTTGCACAAACTTTAGGCTTATGTTAGTTTAAAGAATTATATTAAGGCTAAGGGAAGAAGCCATATGGTGGGAAAAGTTTTTAAATCTCTATAGTTCTGGAGGGTTTATTGTATTAAGCTTAACAGGTAGTTGGAGGGAATTCAAAGGTATGGTATACTGAATTGTTGCTATAAAGTTATTTTTAGGGTCATATGCCTGATAGATGAGATTTACTTATTTTAAAGTTCACTTCGTACCTAAGTAACCAAACTCCCTAGGATGAGGATCAAGACAAAGTGCCACATAGTACATACCACTCTACAGTAAACAGTGTTATAGCAAGATTCCCATGAAGAAACAAAAAGGCACTCGGATATGTCTTATGTCTAGAAAGACACTAAATGCTGAACTTGTTCACTTTATTACTGAAAAGAGATTGTAAAGCAGAATGAGAAATAGCAAACTATTGTGGACAAATTTTTCAAAGATGGCATTAATTTGAGACTTTTTGGAACATACCTGAAAAACAGATAATCACAGGATTTATCCCACTTATAGTCATCAAAGCTTAATACACGGAAATCACAGGCTGTACACCGCAATTGGTCACACGTTCTAGTCAAAAAGATCATAGATTCATTAAAATGTTAGAGATGGTAGGATGTGACTTATAACTGGCAAATAGTTACATAAGGATACTTATTTAGTAGTAATAATAGATATTCTTAATTGAAATGTACTTTAAAGTTTACTTAAGTTTAACTTAACTTATTTAATTTGATTCTCAAAACAATTTTGTAATGTAGATACTACTACATATTATTAGCTCCATTTTTCAAATAAATAAAATAGGGTTAAGTGATGTACCCATAGTCATAAGTACTGCAAGCTGGCTTTGAACACAGATCTTTTCAGACTTCAAGTTTTACTCTGATACCCTATCTACCATGTTAAAACTCTGTTACTAATACTGCTCATATTATTCCTTCTGCCTTTCTAATTTCTACCAGAAATATTCCCCAAATCTTCTGTAGAACTAAATAAACTTCACAGAATTTCAGAATTGGAAAAAACCTCAGTAGACATCTAATACAACCCATCCCTGAAAAAAATTCCCTGTGTAATACATCCAGCAAGTGTTCTTTCAACTTTGTGTTGATTTGGAATTGTTTGAGTAAATGGATCCTGGGGTAGCCAGCCAATAGTGCCCTGAGGTCCTCTAACAAGATGCCTTCTAGCAAACGCAGTTCATTCCACTTTTGGACAGCTCAAGTTGTTAGGAAACATTTCCTTACACCAAATGTAAATTTGCCTTTTTTTGACCCCCACTCACGGTCACTAGTTTTACCTTCTATGGCTAAAGAGATTAAGTCAAATTCCTATTTTAAGTGATAGCCCTTCAAATACTTGAAGTCAGCCATTACAAACCTGCCTTCTCTTCTCTAGACCAAACACCTCCATTTCCTTAAAGCAAACTTCGCATGACGGATTCTAGGCCTTTTACTACCCTAGTTTCTCTTCTATGGATACTCTCTAGTTTATCCGTCCTTTCTAAAACGTGAACTAAAAATGGTATTTGAGATAACGTCTAACTGGAAGAGAGTACAGTCGGAATATCACTTCCCTACTCCTTGAAGCTATGCCTCTTTAAGTGTAGCACTGGATCTCATTAACTTTTCCAGCTTCCAGGAGGTAGTGGATATTCAAACTATAGACTGGTGAGCTTGACTTTGATTCTTGATTCTTTTGTTTTTGTTAAAGGGAGAACCTGTGGGCATTTAGAAAGGGTCATGACTACTGAGAGGTTTCCTGGTTTTAATCAAGAACAAATCAAGCTGGATATTTTTGACAGGGTTCCTGGACTGGTAGGTAAAGAGAATCCTAGAGTTTTGCAAAGTATATGACAAAAGTGTCTCTTGTTTTCCTTGCAGTCATGATGGAGAGATAAAAGCTGAATGTTGGAACAGTTAGATAGATTTGGAATTGGTTGAATGACTGTGCCCAGTGAGTAGTCAGTGACTCCAACTTGTCAGCCAGTCAATTAATAAGCATTTTGTGGCTTACTCTGTGCGAGGTACTATGCTAAAATCGAGGGATACAAAGAAACTGTTCTTGCCATCAAGGAACTTACATTCTGATGGGGGGGGCAGGGGGACAGAGACAAACATGAAAATTATATTACAAGGTACACATAGAATAGATACCAGGTAATCTTGGAGGGAAAGGAATTAGTAGTGGGGAGGGGAGGAAAGCCTGCTACAAAGAGGTGGGCTTTGTGCTGAATACTGAAGAAAGTCCTGGAAATTAAGAGGTGGAGGTGAGGAGGGAGAGCATTCTAGGCACAGGAACATTCAACACAAAGGCACAGATATGGAAGATAAGAACGCTGTCTGTGAGGACCAATAAGCAGACCAGTGTGGCTAGATCACAGAATGTGTGGAGGGGAGGGAAGCGTAAGAAGGCAGGAAAGGCATTACAGGACTAGGTTGTGAAGCACTCACTTTAAATGCCAAAGAAGGGCTCTGAGTTTGATCCTGGAGGTAAGAGTGAGCCAGTGGGTTTTTTTTTTTTGAGTGGAGGTTGAAGAGAAATCTGTGCTTGGCTCTGATCTCTTTATCATTGTTACCAACAGCTAAGGGCATAGATGACACACTCATTAAATTTATAGTTAAACTCAAGGTTTGGAAGACTAATACAATATACACCAAAAAAGTTCTTGCATTGTGGCACAATGGTCCAGATTTAATAAGATGAAATTCAGTAGGAACAAATGTGAAGTCTGACATTTGAGTTATACAATGGAGAGGCATAGGCAGAGTATAGTTTATTTTTTTTAAATCTGGGAGATTTTACTGGACTGCAATCTCTATACATGTAATCAGTGTGAAATGGTTGGCAAAAGAAAAAGCAACTGATCTTAGGCACCAAGACCCAACTGGCACCCTTAGAGTGAGAAGTGTGATTGAAGGTGGGAGATTAGGATGGCAAAGAGATTGAGACCAAACTATATGAAGGCTGGATGAAAGAACTGGAGATGTTTAAAAGCCTGAAAAAGAGCTGGCTCTCCTGAAGTGTTTGAAGGGCAAAACATGTAAAATGAATTAGAAATATAATGACTGGTCCCACCAAAATGGCAATTTTTGACAATTTTTCTGACAATTAGAGTTGTCTCAATGTGGAATGAGCTACTTTAAATGGTAGTGAGTTCTCCATTATTTGAGATTGTTAAAAAGAGATTAAATGATCATTTATCAGGGATATTTTAGAGGAACGTCCCATTCAGGCTAGGGGTTATATTAATAAAATCTGAAATCCCTTCAAATTCTGAAACTTTGTTGATTCTTAGCATTCATAAATAATGCTCTTTCATTTTCCAATTTGGAACCCAAATCAAATTTCAAGAATCTGCTGCCCAAATGTCTTCTTTAATGAAAAGAAACACAGATGAAAAATGAAATCATAAGCTTTACATACACATGTGGTTCCTCATGGGAATACATGGAATGTTTGTAAGGATCTTGATTATCCTGTTGAATTTCACCTCAAGGATTAAATTGCATTCAAGTGCTTAAATTTTTTTCTTAAAAAAATTTTCTTTTCCTGTGGAAATTCTCTTATTTACTCTAAAACTTAGCTATTTTTAACTCTGGTTTTGCAATATCTCAAGGGGATGTCAAGAAATTCTCAAAACAAAATTAGTGTTAATTAACTTAAGAAAAAGAAATACTGTATTAACCACATAGTACTTTTAGGAGTAGATGCTTTGTGGCAATAATCAATCAAATCATAGTGTATTGCAAGTACAGAAAGAGTTTGGATTCCCTGCTTTGAACATTTAACTAATTAATTAATTAATTTTAAAAAAAGTTTTTAGGCAATTGGGGTTAAGTGACTTGCCCAGGGTCACACAGCTAGTAAGTGTCAAGTGTTGGTCTGAGGCCGGATTTGAACTCAGGTCATCCTGACTTCAGGGCCGGTGCTCTATCCACTGCACCACCTAGCTGCCCCATGAACATTTAATTTAAATGCTTTCTGAGAAAAATGTGATTTATCCAATCATTTTAAATTATATAGAGAAAGGACATTTTAGTACTCTCATTCCTTTTTTAAAAAAATGTTTAAAACCTTAAAAAATTTTAAAAATCATGGTTTACCCAAAAACTCAGATGGGTTAAACTTCAAATCTTCATACTTTTTATAATCTGAAAATTTATTTAATAATACTTTATATCTAAAAATATTCACTTAGACATAGCAAAACTATTTTAAATTTACATGCTGTTCATGCAGAGTTCTCTGTCTCTTATCAGACTGTTAGCAATTTACCAAGATGTATTCATGCATAAAAAAATTCAACACAATTATATTAGTGCAAAGTTAAATTGAAATTCTGAATGCACAAGTCAAGACATGCAAAATTATGGTTCCCAAAGCTACTGTAACTTGTCTTCTTTCACATATGTACTTTATTACATGGCTGCACAGAGTGTTAACTTTAATGCCTTAATACATATGTGCAATTTGGCTGAATTATAGCTGTTGTGGGAACCATAACTCTGAATTTCCTGACATTTTGTATGTGTAAAATCTCAACCATAATGTTGAATACAGCTTTTGAATTTAATTTAAAATATAGTAGTTTATTCAAATCTATTCACACTACCACATTTTCCTACAAACACTATCCTCAGAGAAAAATAAAACCAACTTGCAGTTAAGAAATCATTCTGGTGCTGTGATTTCTATGATTCACTCTATTAGATCATAATTAATACCAGTCCATGGAATCCAGCCTTGCAAGTAGTTTTAAAAAATCATTAGCCTAACTGAAATTCTACTTAGCTTGAAGTCTCTGCATTAGTTTCAGACACACTAATACCATCTCTTCCCCTTTCAACCATCTACTACTGCTGCCTATATCAACCAGCTAAAAAATAACGTAACATGGTACATGCTATGGTTATGTATGTAAGTATTTCATATCCTGAACAGATGGATAATCCATGAGAATGTAACTTTTCAAGAACTGTCTTATCTAACCTTTGTATTTTCCATAGCATCTTGCAGAATTCTTTGAATATAGCAGGTGCTTAATAAATTTGTTGGATAAATATTTCGGAGTTGTGACTAAACAAAGAACAGATCCAATGAAGACATGGAAGTAAACACTAATATAGGTGAATGGCCATATAATTGTAAGTGCAAAGGAGATGCCAGATTGACTAGAGTAACTTGATTTGAGGTGAGTGAGCCAGGGAGGAGGAAGTGCTCAGCAGGAGAAGGATGATTATGTCTAGGCAAAGAGGCTAATTTCCTATTCGGAACTAGTTACAGGTTACTAACTACTCATGAGCAAAAAAAGAACAAAATAAATGTTGGTGGCAGCAAATATTTTCCTGGAGATTCCAAATCAGATTAGATGGAATAATAGAAAAAATGGTAGGATAACCTAATAGCGATCACCTCCTGATAAAATTAGTGTTAATGTATATTATTGAGTTCTTCTTTAAGGAGATTATCCTCATTGCTATGAGTAGGCTGGATTGGGACAAATAAATGTCACTTTATGGTGTCTCTAAAGCCGTTAAGATGACTGGTAAAAGGAAAAAGCTGGG